ATCGACATATTAGGCAAATAAAAAAATAACCCCCCTCAAAAAAACGAATAATAAAACATAACATGACTACATGGTAAAAAATAACTATCTTTAACTAAGCTGTTTAATTTTAGGTTATTATTAGAGCAGTTATGAAAATGATACTTACAGGAAAACTGGTCCGTTACATTGTAGCGAGCGCTGCGTGAAAAGTAACCGTTATTTTGTGCACGCGCAGTATAGCGTCATGCGAGTGACGCAATTAAAAGACCGTTGACCGTGGACAGTCTCAATTCTCGCTGAAGCAGGTGAGTGAATCTTATTTTTTTCCACATTTAAAATGCCTAAAAGTGTTAAAAATCTGTTGTATAGTATTGTACTAGTGACACATAGCCTAATGTTGAGAATGAAATGCTTAAGTAAATGACATGGCAGGGTCTCCGTCTATCTGTCTAATTAGCAATGTCCTATCATAATGTGATGTTAGTCTGTTTGTTTCATCGATCTATCTATCTGTCGATCTGTCCGTCCGTCCGTCTATCTATCTAATCTATCTATCTAAACTGCCTGTTATTCTCTGTCCAGTTTTCTATCTTTAATATCTATCAAAACATAGTTTATTTTCAGTTATACAAGATGTTGGCTTTAATTGAATGGACAGAGAATGACGCTTCGCTAGACATTGTAAAGAAAAAGGACATACTTCAAAAAGTAATCAATGAGGGAGATGTCGTTGATGTAAAATACGAAGATGAAAGCTCTCCAGCAATTATTTTGAAGCTGAGTGGTAAACAGATAATATTTCAGAATGTAAATACTTTATATATCAATGAGTGCATTATATTGTTGAGGCAAAGGAAATTCTCTTTTTTTGTTGTTGTTGTTTAGAAAATAAAGACAGGCTGCTGAAACGTCTTCATCAGGTAGAGTCAGAGAGAAAGAAAAAAGATGAGGGCAAACTTCCTGACAAAAGACCAATAAAAAGGAAGGAAATATTTAGTCCAGAAAACAGTCCATCGCCAAGTCCAGAGAAGAGATGCAAAAGAGTAAAATCTTTCTTCCTGATAAATTATTTCAAAAAAAATATTGTTGCATAAAATGTTATTTATTTATTTACTTTTTAGGTTGACGAACCACAGAAGGACAAACTGTTGTTCCAAAAAATCCAAGAGAAAGCCAAAGAAAACAACGAACCGAATGAACTTAGAAGAGAAATCAAGGCCTTGAAAGCTGAAAATCAGGAACTAAAGGCACTAAACTTTAAACTACAAAAAGGTAATTACATACGTTTCCCTCATAAAAAATAAAAACACTTCCTTTTTATGTTTTTACTGATGTGAACTTTTGTGCTGTTTTTTTTATTTTTATTTTTTTCATATTTAGACATTATTAACAGATTTGAGGAGTTGTTGTCAAATAGAAGCAGATCTGTTGCACAAACCTGTCCACCACCTGCATCTCCTAAACCTGCTCCTCATCCAGCTAATCAGTCACATACTCATGTAACCACTCACTAACTTTTTTTTTTTTTGATTTCACAGGAACAGTTCATCCAAACATGTAACCACTCACTAACTTTTTTTTTTTTTAGATATCACAGGAACAGTTCATCCAAATAAAAAATAAGAGAGAAAAATGAATTGTCATTATTTACTCACTCTCATGTTTTCCAAAAAATGAAAGTTTGTTGCATGCTTTTTGGTAATTCTTGCCATTTATTTGATATATTGCACAGGTTGATATCCAAAGAAAACTAAACATCACCAAAGAGACATTCCAGGCATGT